GCATCATCATCACCATCATCACCATCACCATTATCATCAAGTCCCTGAGATGCTGTATCCAATTAGGACTGCAAAGTGGTCCAGAGCATGGGCTCTGGACTAAGACTGCCTAGGTTTATATCAGCTCTCTAGCTGTGTAGGCTTGGACAAGTTATTGAACTTCTGTAAGTTTCTGTAACTACAACACAGGGAAAAGACGCAGGTTTGTTGGGAGCACTAAGTAATACAGCCCATGTTAAGGCCTTAGTACAGTGCACCTGGCACACAGTAAGCTCAAAAAATGGTTCCCATCAGGGGGAAGGAGAGCACAGGGCAAGAAGGGGTGGAGCTGGGTGGGTGTAAGAGGTAGGACAGGCTGAACAGAGACCTGAAGGAGCAGAGGTCTCCATCCACACTCTCAGAGACATGGAAGGGCATTGCCCTACAAAGGGAAGAGCATGTGTAAATGCTCAGAGGCTGAATGGTGAAGTGCTGGATGGGGAGCTGAGGCTGGCAAGGGAAACAGGTGCTGATGGGGCAGAGGGTTTGTTCTGAGAGCAATGGGGAGCCACAGGAGGTACTTGAACAGAAGAGGGGCTGAGTGTGGTGTGTGGGTTAGAAAGGGCTGCTTGGAAGCTGCTTTCCAAAGGTCCCAGAGTCAGACCCCATCTCTACACCCCCTACCCCATCCTGGTCTGAGCCACCACCATCCCTCACCTGGATTACTGCAGTAGCTTCCTCCTGGTCTCTCATGTCTGCCCTCGCCCCTACACAATCTCTTCTCCTTTAAGATCCCACCACATCCCAGCTCAGAGCCCAAGTCCCTCCAGAGTCCCCCCAGGCCAGGGCCATGTTTCTTTTGAATCTAATTCCCTCCCTCTTTCACTCTGCTCCAGCCACCCCAGCCATCTTACCTCCTCCAAACACACCAGGGATGTTCCTGCCTCCGGGCCTTTGCACTTGCCCCTTTCCTACAGTGCTCTCCCCTCAGGTATCCACAGGGCTCCTTCCCTCCCCTTCCTTCCTCACACCTTCCCTAAAATAGCAGCCCTCCCCCAGCACGCCCTCTGTGGCACTTACCACCTTCTAACATACCATAATTTTAAAAAATTGGGGTAAAATTCACATCACTTAAAATGAACCATTTTAAAGTGTGCAATTCAGTGTCATTTAGTCCATTCATGATGTTAGGCCACCACTACCTCTCATTAGTTCCAGAAATTTTCATCACCCCAGAAGGAAACCCCCTACCTGTTAGCAATCTCTCCCCCGACCCCAGCCCCTGGCACCCACTAATCTACTTTCTGTCTCTGTGGATTTGCCTGCTCTGGACATTTCACATTAACAGAATCACACAATACATGGCCTTTTGTGTCTGGCTCCTTCCACTCAGCACCACATCTTCAAGATTCATCCACATTGAGACATCATACTATAACTGTCACTTCTTTATTTTGACTGTCCCTCAGCTGCCTCCCCACTGGAACACAAGCTCCACAGAGGCCGAGAATTTTATCTGCTTTGCACTATGGGTCTCTGGAGCTGGCACACAGGTGGTGCTCAATAAATGCATGCTGAGTGTTGATTGCATCCAGCCCTGGGGTCCACGTCTCCCTGTTCTGTCTGGGCCTGGTCTCCCTCATACTGAATGCTCAGGCCCATCTCTGCTTCCTTCCGCCCATCTTCACCCCACTCCACCTCACCTGCAGATCTGGTTGTGCAGGAACCTCCTGTGGTTGGGCCTCCTTTTTGGGGGCCGGGTCCGACGGGGGTGCAGGGTGCGCAGTATGTGGGCAGCTGCCCCGCTCACAAAAGCACACAGCTCCCGGGGCCCTGGCTCGGAGATTCCAGGGGCTGCAGGAGCCCCAGGGTGCATGGCCCTGGTGATCTGGAGTAGCTCCTCACAATATTCCTGCCGATCTGAAAGCAGTCCCCCAAATCTGTGAAGAGAGAGGAGCAGCAAGGGCTGGGGCTCAAGGCTGGGGAGGGGGACAGGAAGAGAGGTGGGCTTTGGGAGGAGCAGGTGGATCTGCAGGGAAGGGCACTGCCCGGGCTGGTGGAGGCAGGACCCAGGGAATTAGGACAGGTCATCCCACCTCTGCCCTAGCCCAGTCCCTGCCTCCAGTGAGCTGGACTCCAAGCTTTGAGGAGCCTGTGGGCGGGGTGGGGGGGCGGTCTGATATAGGAAGGCAAGGGGGCAGGGAGGGGAGGTGCCCAATTAGCACATAGTTGGACCTGGGATCTGGGACCTGGCAGCGTATATGGGGGCCAGAGAAAAGCGCCTGGAGATGGCCAATTAAGGGGACAAAGCCCTCATTAGGGAGGCGAGGCCAGGAGCCGAGTCAACCGCAGCGATTAGTGTGGAGGACCTTTAATTGCAGTCGCGGGAAGGGGGGGTGAGAGGCTTGGGTGCAGGCTGGGAGGGTGGGGAGGCGGCCCTGGGAGGCACACTGGGAGTCTCCAGCTGTGGGGCAGGCACCCACATCTGCCCACCCACCTGCAGACACACCTACCTGTGCCTCCCTGCCTCCCTCTGCCCCAGGCCCAGCATCCTGGGGAAACTGAGGCTCAGAGAGCAGCCTGCTCATGCTCAAGGTCTTCCGGCCTGCAAAAGGGATTAGCTTCTGGGGGAGAGTTGACTTCCAAACCCTGCGTCTCACATCCAAGCTTCTGAGTGAGCACGGGGAGGGGGAACACCTAGTTGCTCGGGTGGCTGACATAGGTGACAGCCAGGCTGTGGCAGAAGGGGAAGAGGAAACACGGGCATGGTTTCCCCCAAGGCACTTTACTGAGGGACTGGGGGGCCCCTGGTGTTTGGGGAGGCAGAGAACCGGCTGGAGGTGGCGGGGGAGGGGCTGGCTGCCAGGGCTGGGAGTGGGGTCCTCTTGTCTCCGGCAGAGTGTTGGCCCAAGTTGGGGAACCCGGGCTGGGCTGGTGTGGGAGGCAGGTGTCTCCGTGTCTGCGCTGAGAAGACCGCGTTGGAGGTTTGTGTTGGGAGGTGTCTGTGCCCTGTGGATGCTGTGACACGTTACCACAAGCCTGGCAGCTTAATACCATGCACGTCGATTCTCTTGGAGTTCTGGGGGTCAGAAGTCCAACACGGGTTTTGTGGGCTAATGTCAAAGTGTTGCTTCTGGAGCTTCTAGTGAGGAATCTGTTCCCATGCCTTTTCTGGCTTCTAGAGGCCACCCACTCGAATTCCTTGCCTTGTGGCCCCTTCTTCTGTCTTCAGAGTACATTGCTCTGACCTCTGCTTCTGCTGTCCCATCGGGTCTCTAACTCTGACCCTCCCTCTTATAAGGACTCACCAGGTAACCCAGGGTAATCTTCCGTCTCAAGAGCCTCAACTCCATCACACCTGCAAAGTCCCCTTTGCCATGTTAAGGTCTCAGTCACAGCTTCTGCAGATTAGGACGTCAGCCTCTCTGGGGGGCCGTTATTTAGCCGGCCACAGAAGGGGAGGCTCGGCCCCAGCAGTGGCTCCTCCCAGGTGGCCCTCAGGTCCATGTTAGCGGGGCCAGTTGTTCCCGCTGCTGGGGCTGAGCCTGGGGCTGCCCTGGTCGCCTCCAGCATCCAGGCGGGGAGAGACACAGCCAGAACAGTGAGGACGTCCCCTGCGGCTCCCCGGTGTCCAGGCCCTGCACCTGACGTGCTGTGTTTCAAGGAGGCCCCCCTCCCCTGGGCACTCACAGGAAGACATTACCTTCCCTGTTTCTTGAAGGAGAAACTAGGGTTAGGGCACACCATCACCCAAAGTCCCAGTAGCAGAGCTGGGACTTAACCCTCATGGGGAAAAAAATGGAGGCACACTAAGAGCTTTCTAAAGGGTCTCATAGTTGTTAAATACTAAAGTATGTAATTTCTCACTACACTTACAAATATTCTCTTCTTTCCACCAAATGATACCCTGATAAAGTTATCAGCAACAAATTATAAAAGACTGGCAGAAAACCACCTCTGGCTCCGTAAGAGAAACGAGAGCTACCAGATGTGATAAGGTGTAATGTTATGGAATTAAAAAACCAAAACCTCAGTGCCACCACTTGGGGGATTCTGTGTCCTGACCTGAGCGTCCGTCACCTTCCTGGTAAATTGGGTGGCGCAGCAGCCCAGGGGGAGACTGCGGCTTTGCGACTTCCCCGAGCTCACGGAGCTACTGACAGCAAAGCTGGGGTCTGAACATGAGTTAGCATACGCTGGAGACCACGCTTTTGCTTCCCAGGCCTGCTCATCGTCCAGCAGTGCCACCCACCTGGGTCAGCACAGCGGTGGCAGCCTAGAGGGCGGGCGCAGGGCTCAGGGTGGGGGCCACCAGGTGGGCCTCGGCAAGGCAGTAGTGGGTGCTGAGGGAAGCCTGCGTGGTGAAGGTTCCCCATGCCAGCGATATTGCCAGAGGTCGGCTTACCTGTGAGCATGTTCTGAACTGTGGCCACTGAGGCCAGCAACAGCAGGTCGACCATGTGTCCAGTGTTGCCCTCGCTGGCCTCAGCTCCAACATATGAGCTGTGGTCCCTCCCACACCCAATACCACCAGTGTGCCATGACACAGCCAAGGACAGGGCAGTGTGGGCACATGTGTGGGGACATTGCAGGCCTCGCCTGTCCATCTTGGATGCCCCCTCACTGGCCTCCCCTCCTGGCCCCCGGCGTCTCTCACCGCCGTCTGTCTGTGATTCTCAGTAGCTCCAGTGCTGTCTCTCCATCGTGCATGCTCTCTCCTCTGCCCCGCTGGTTTTTCTGCCCCTCCCTGGGTTGTCTGTAGCTCTTTCCTCTTCATCGTGTCTGTGACTATGCCTCCCACCATTCCTGTGCTTCTGAAGGCTTCTCTCACCATCTATTTCACCACCTCTACAGTGTTTCTCAATGTTTGTCTCTCTGACTTTGAATGCATCTCTGTCTTGGTCTGGGTGGGTCAATTCCACACATGTGTATGTGTGTGTTTGTGTGTATCAGCACATGTGTCCTGGACATGTATGTGGTGTTGTGAGATGGCCTGGAAGGTTTCCTGTCTCGTTACTCTCAGGCCAAGAAGGAAGAGTCCAGGGTCCCTTAGCAAAGGGCCAGGGGCGGGGGGAGAGGAACCCCAGGTCTATGGAGGATTGGAGGTCAAAGCTCAGAACCCAGGACAGGCAAGGGGCCACCTCTGCATGGTGGGGGCATAACCTTTGCTAACCCAGCTCCAGAAGTGGGCTCACATCCAAGCCACCAGGAGCCAAGGGCAACATCTGCTGGCCATCTCTGTCCCACTGCCATACCAGCAAGGAATACATCTGGGGCCACCCACTGGCAGGCTCTGGCCTGGGGATGCTCCACCAGGGGGCGCCAACGCCCTAGGCTGGTGCTGGGAGGCCCTGCTGGAGTGGCGCTCAGGGTGTGTGGTTCCCCACTTCTGAGCCCTTGTCTGCCTGTCTCCCTGCTTAATAAGAGTCACCCACAGCTGGGGGCTGGCTTCCTCTGATGTTTGTGGAGGACCTGCAGTGCAGGTATTACAGGGTATTCACAGGCTCCTTTCTCCTATCCTGGCCCTTAGAATTGGGAGTTGGGGGACACATTTAATCATTGAACAAGCATTTGTTGAGCACCTACTGTGTGCAGAGACTGAGGATGCAGTGGCAAGCAAGACAAAGACAGTCCGTCCCTGTTGGAGTCTGGAAGGGGGACAGCTGTATAAGAAATGGCCAGTTGGGGATGTACTGTGAAGGTGCTCAAATTGGACAGAAATTGGAGGCTGGATCAGGGAGGAGTGCTGCTTCAGCCAGAGACGCCCTCCCTGAGGTGATGGTTGTCCTGCATCCTTAATGGAAGATATGGCAGCCAGGAGCTTCCCAGGCGGAGGGCATAGCGGGTGCAAAGGCCTTGAGGCAGTAGCAAGCTTGAGGTGAAGTCAGAGAAGTGGACAGGGGTCAGACCCACAGGGCTTTGTAGGCCAGGTAGGAGCTCAGTTATGAGGGCAAGGGTGATGGGGAGCCACTGAGGGTTTGTATGAGTCAGGGTTCCCCAGAGAAACAGAACCAAGAGGATCTATATGTATCTCTATATCTCTATCTCTGTCTGTCTGTGTAGCTATCTCTATAGAGAGCTTGTTTATGTTACATTACATATATAAAGAGATCCACTATAAGGTACTGGCTCATGCAACTATGGAGGCTGAGAGGCCTCACGATCTGCCATCTGCAGGCACCCAGGAGACCTAGGAGAGCCAGTGGTGTCATTCAAAGGCCTAAGACCCAGAGAGTTGATGGTGCAGGTTCCAGTCTGGGTCTGAAAACCTGAGGACCAGGAGTGGCAAAAGCAGGCAGAGATCAATGTGCCAGCTGAAATGGTCAGGCAGACGATGAATTCAGCCTTCCTCCACCTTCCTGTTCTGTTCAGGCCCTCAGTGGATTGGGTGAGGCCCACCCACACTGGGCAGGGCATCAGCTTTACCCAGCCTACTAATGCCAGCTCTTCCGACAGCACCCTCCCAGACACACCCAGAAATCATGTTTCACCAGATACCTGGGCATCCTGTGGTCCAGGCCAGGTGACAAGTGAAATTAACCATCACATTTCCTTTAAAATTTTTTTTAAAATTTGCATTCATTTTTATTGAAGCATAGTCAGTTTACAGTGTTGTGTCAACATGACATTTCCTTGTGATTAACTCGAGGCCAGCTCATTGGGACCCTTGATTGTGCCTGTCAAGACCCTTCCACTTTGCCATGCAGCAGAACCTGTCACAAGAGTGGGGTCTACTGGAGAAGAGGGGCTTGTTATACACGGGTGCTGGTCACTGGGGATCATCACAGAAGGTGGCAGCCTCTCTTGGGCAGGGGATTTGGTGTGTATCTATCCCTGACACATTTCTGTACTTAAAACAGAGAGATCCATTTTCCCCACACAGATGGGACCCTCTGAACTGTCCTCCTCCAGGGAGTCTGCCCTGGTTTTCCCCCTATCCCAGCTGGCTGGGAAGTCTCCTCTGGGTCCCTTGCCCTGGGCAGCCTCCAGGGGCTCCTGACCATGCATGTGAGACCTGCGAGATGGTCCTTGGATGGAGGTGGACTCTGGGCTGGATACACTCCCAGTTAAATCACTTCCTGGTACAGGATGTTACATCACTTCTGGCTCTGTGCCTGGCCAAGAGACTTCAGAGAGCCTTTATTTACTGAGCTCCCCCCACCCCTACACACCAATGAACTGGGGAACTGGAGAGGCCTGGCAGGGCAGAACAGGCTGGAGGACCCCATGAGAGCCCCAAGAGATGTCAGAAAGGAGCATCCTTAGGCTGTGTGAGGCACAGGCTAGCCCTATGGCTCCCTTCTCCTGGGACAACAGACAGCAGTGACCTGGGGACTCCTCTGTCTGCCTCCTCCCTTATTTAAAATGTATCTCTGCTCTTTTCACTCTACTTGTGTGAAAAGGATATTTTATTTTTGATCTCTGGCCCTGGGAGTTCTGCCTGCTCCAGATACCTCCTTTGTGGGGTGGGGTCGGGGGTGCTCCTGGGAGAAGTGTCCCCTCTCCCCAGGTCACCCCAGGCCCTAATCCTGTCTTCTCTAGTGACTGCAGGTTGTGCTGTCACCAAGGTGATGGATTGAATGGCCAAAACCAGAATCAAATGTCCACACAGCAGGACACTCCACCTCTCCCTTCCAGAGGGAAGGGAGGTTGGTTGGGGGGTTCAGGCATCTGGGGTCCTGGAGCATTGGAGGGGTAATGGTGAGTGGGATCTGTGTTCCTCCTCGACCCTGTAACCCTGTAATCAAAGGGGGCAGGGCCCAGAATCTAGTCCTGGCCAAGCCACATTAGAGCTGGATCCCAGAAGCCCAGGACACGTGCCCCAACCTCCAGAGTGTGGCTGGCAGGCTTGCGGGGGAGGATGTGTGGGGAAGAGGAAAGGGCCAGTCTCCCCAGCTCCTCCCAGGGTTTCTCTCCCCCTCCTTTGACAACTTCCTCGAGATTGGGGTGCAGACCCTTGCCAATCCTCTTTTGGATGACAGCTCTAGGATGGGGGTAAATGGAGAGACACCCCCAGATGCACACAGGGCCTTTGGGGCATGTGACAGCCTAGGTCCCTGGGCAGGGTTGTGTAGGTCTTGGCCACCTTCAAAGACTGCAGTCCCCACCCCGACCCCGGCCCCCAGGGTGGTGGGGCTCAGTGGGACTGGAGCTGGATAAGACTCCTCATCTAGTTTGGAGGGAGCCAGTCCCCCTAAAACCTGGGGCGGGGTGTTGTTGGCCAGAAACAGGAATACTGGAGACTGGAGAGGCATATATCCAGCTGTTTGCTTGGTCCCACACTGAGGCTTCACTGACTGCCTCCAGCCCTGGACATACCTCCATGCCTGTCTCTCGTGCTTTATTTTTCTCCCAGACACTTAGCAGCTCATAGCATGGGACATGCGTTATTTATTGTGCCTTGTTTATTACCACTCCTCACCCCCTACTGCAGATTTTGTAGTCACTGGGACTGGACTTCTGTTGCCCCCTCTCTGGCCCCCCATCTCTATGTCCCAGCTCCTAGGGCAAGACCTGGGGAGGGTCCTGGGTCAGGACTGAGGATCTGGACACTACAGGGTCCTAGGAGCCTCTGAGCACTGGCCTGAGAGCCTCTGATGACTTCTTGTGATATCTGTGTCAGCTGCCTGTCTGTGAGAGGGCCCACGATGTCCCTCGCAGGGCCATGCAGAGGATCCCACATACAAGGCTCCAAGAGGGATCCAGCTCTGGGATGGATGGGGGACAACTCCTCCCATCTGTGTCCCTGCAGAGCCAGACACAGGTTTGGCATCTTGTCACTTGCCCTGCAGGGCTGTTAGTGTTGTTTTGAAAATGAGCCCGTCAAATCTGCACAATCTTTTTTTTTTCCCCCAAAGAGGCGCCAGACCCCGAGTGGGAGCCAGTTGCTCATAGGGGATCCTCCCTCCATCCCCAAGCCTAGGTAGTGGGCAGGGCCTGGTGTGTTTAGGAGCCATGGATACAGGTGGGGACAGACCCCAGGGGGCAGGGCCTGCAGCTCTCTGCTCATCCTAGTCTTCCCCTTCTTTACGCCTTAACAGCTCAATCTGCTCCAGTGTCCCTCCCAGTGCCTCTAGCAGCCTTGTTTCTGGAGGGGTAGTTAAAAGCTGAAGTGAAAGGAATGCATGGGCTAACCTGGAAGCCAAAGGTTTCACATGCCTGAATTCACTGGAGACTTCATAAAGACCCCACAGGGCAGGAACAGGTCCAGCAGCTCAGAACACCCATGAGTCCCAGCCTGCCGGGGGATAGGGTAGGTAGGGCAGGCCTTGGGAAACTATGGGAGGCTGTAAAAATTCACTTATTCAACAGAATACCTGCTGCTTGTGGTCAGGCCCCTTTTTGGTTCCTGGGGACACCCGGGTGGCAAAGAGAGACCCTATCCCTCTGTGATGGAACATAGATGAGTGCCGCTGAGCATGTAATGGGACCCCTCCTAGCATAGGGGCTTTCCAGTAGGAGTTGAAAAGGGACAGGGGTAATATGCAGTGTGGCCCTCAGGCTGAGGAGGATTGTCTTGGAGCAGCGGTTCTCACCAAGGAACTTGTGGCCAGGTCTGGAAATGGCCAGCCGTCATAAGATGTGGTGGAGGTGAGCTCGGGGACAAGGAGTGCTATAGGCCTCTAGTGGGTGGAGGCCAGGATGCTGCTAACCGTCCTACAAGGCACAGGACAGCCCCCATAGCAAAGAACGATCCGGCCCAAATGTCACTAGTGCCATGGTTGAGAAATTGTTGGATGACCCGCAGAAAAGTCAGTTTGGCTCAGAGGCCGAGGCTGGTGAGGAATGATCGTGGGAAGGATCCGGGAGAGTGGATCAGAGACAAACCCATCTTCCCCTAAGCCCCAGGCTGCGGAGGAGGCTTGGGGCCCCTGGTGCTCTGGGCAGGCCCCTGCACAAGCAGGGCCGAGATTTCGGAACAACTGCACTCTCGAGCACGTGGGACCTGGTCGGGGCAGGAAGCACTGAGGGTCTCCGTTTCCCAGATGAGGGAAATGGGAGCCCCGAGGGCCTGGGCATGGGGGCCAGGACAGGAGTGACCACACCCCTGGTGGGCGAGGAGTACTCGGGAACCGCGCTGTCGAGGAGATGTTCTAGCCCAGACGAGTGGGAATCAGTACTAATAAAGGGGAACATGCGACCCCGCATCCCGGCCTGGCTTTCCCCAGCCGTGGGCCGACCCCCGTGACCGACCCAAGGACCGGGCGGTCAGGGTCCCCGGGAGAACTACAACTCCCAGGACACCTCGCGCCGCCAACGCCTGGGAACGCCGCGACAGCCGGCGGCCAATGGGGGGACGGGGGCGGAGCCTCGGCGCACGTGGCGTCGTGACGCACCGTCGGCGACGCCGGGGTTTGTGTGCGCGAGAGGCCGCCGATAAAGGTTGGGTGCCTCGTGCCGGGGGCCGTTGGGAGGGAGCGCACCCCCGCCCCCTCCCCGGCCCCCACTCCTGCACCTCAGCTATTGGGGCCCCGCCTTCCCGTCGGCCCCCGCGGGAAGGCCCTGGGTCTCCCCCGCTCGTTCCCCGGTCGGGGCCGCAGGTGAGAGACCGGAGGGGTGGGGGTGGGGGGAGGGACCGGAGGGCGGAGACGTTGGTGAAACGGCGAACGTGAAACCGGAAGGGACGTCTTAAAGGGAAGGGCTCTATTTCACCTCCGACTCATGTCCGCCGGGCTGGCTCCGCCCTCTTAAAGGGCAAGGGGCTGCTTTTTAAAGGGGCGGGGCAGGGTGTGCAGTTTACAAGCGCTTCACGCATTTTCCCTCGCCCAAGAATGAATTATCTCTTTAAAGGCCAACGACAGTGTTCCAGGCACTGAAGGAAAAGCATCTGAATCCTGGTGGCTTCAAAGCAGTTCTTAGTTTAGCTCAACAAGGTGGAGACTGGTGTGCAGTAGCAGCGTCCTCTTAAAGGGGAAGTCGGGCCGATGGAAGGGTGTGGTCCGGCCTTTTGAAGTGTGTGCTCTTTATTGGTTAAGATGGGTCCGAGCTCTTCCAGACCACGGATGTCTCCTGTTTAAGGCAAGCCGGCCTTCTGAAAGGCACGTGCTTGTTCCCTAGGATAATCACTTAAAAGGAGTTGCTTACATTTTAAAGGGAATGCTCATCTTTTTGAAGGGAATCTTTATAGCCTGTCCAGAGGGGCTGCCCAGCTTTCTTTAACCCAGGATATGTTCACTGAGCATTCTCTCTGTGCCAGACGTTACTCTAGGCGCTGAGATGTAAAAGTGAACAAGATGCCTCTAGTATCTGGTGGGCAGAGGTCAGGGATGCTGCTAAACAACTTCCAAGGCAGCCAGCCCCTGGACGCTGGTCCAGCCCCAAATCTTAACAGTGCTGAAGCTGGGAAATCCTGATCATAAAAGTAGGTTAGACGGTAGTTAACCCTATGGAGAAAAAATAAGGCAGAGAAAGACAATAGGGAATGTTGGGAGGGTTTGTAGAGTTAAGTAGGGTGCTCAGGGGAATACCTCCCCTAGGTCACATTTCAGCAGACTGGGAGGTGAGGGAGGGAGCTCACTGGACATTGGAGGGAAGGGGGTACTAGGCAGGGAGTCGGTGTGAGGGCCGCAGGTGAGAGCAGGTGACTAGGGTGCTGTGAGGGTTGGAGAAGCTATTGGAGGGCAGTCAGGGAGGGGAGGAGGCCGTGGGGCTCGGGAAGTCTGTAGGTTCTTGTAATTGATCTGTCTTCTCTCAAATGAGAGCTGTGGAAAGCTTTTGCACAGAGGAATGAAATGGCCCATCCTCCGTCTCTGTTGGCAGTTTGGATTCAGCCTGTGTGTTAGGAACAGACTGGGGGTGGGAAGAGTAAGGGTAGAGACAGGGAGATCTATCAGGAAGCTGTTGCAGCTGCCCAGGAGGGAGATACTGGTGCCCTGGACAAAGGTGGTACTGGGGGACTTGGTGGAAAGTGGCCAGATTCCAAGGATGCTCCTGCTGGAATCGGGGAATCGGCTGACAGACTGGTCCTGAAAAGTGAAAGAAAGAGAGGAGGTGAGGATGCCCTGAGGAAGAATAAAGGTGTTTCCAGAGATGGAGAAGACTGTGGGTGAAGGAGCGATTTGGCAGGGACAGAGGGGCGGGGACAGAGCAGGAACGAAAACAGGAGTTAGGTTTTGGGTATGTTAAGTTTGAGGTGTCTATGAGGCATTGTCTGGCAGGGGTTTAGAGTTCAAAGGAGAGGTGTCAAGTAAAGATCAGTATTGGAATCACCCCATTTATAGATTGTGAAGTCCCAAGAGTGTGTGAGGGCTTCCAGGGAGAATGTGGACATAGAAGAGGAGGGTTGACAGAGCCCTGGATTCTCCTACATTCACAGGTAGGGGGACCAGAAGGACTAGCGCCCGAAACAGAGGAGGGATGGGAAGTGAGGAAAGCAGTCTCCCAAAAGCCAAGGGGAGTGGCTTAAGGAGAGGGAGCCTAAGGCACCCACTGACCACTGAGCAGAGACCACCAGACTTAGCACCACGGAGGCCGTGAGAGGAGGAGGAGGGAGGATCTGACTGATGGGGTTTGAGATGGGAAAGAGTATGTACTGACAGCACTTTTGAGTTGCTGTGCTGCAAGGAGATAGAAATGAGGCCATAGCTGGAGGAGTGAAGGATTTTTGTTGTTTTAAAGATGGGAAATCTAGCTTTTGGGTACACTGATGGGAATGGTCCAGGAGATGAAGAGATCACTGTAGGTGGGAAGTCAGAGTCTTTGGGCCCAGAGGCAGGCAGGTGGGGAGGGGTAGTGCTGAGTTTCTTGGCTCAGCACCACTGGCATTTTGGACCAGTTCTGTGCTGGGGGGGTCGCTGCCCTGTGCACTATAGGATGGTGAGCATCATCCCTAGCCTTCACCCACCAGATGCCAGTGGCATCTGCCCCGCCAGTGGACAACCAAACAACGAAAACAGTCTCCAGGCATTGCCAGATGTCCCCCGGCGTCGGGGGCGTGATGGTGGGGGAGATTCCACTGCCCTGTGGAGAGCCACCAGTGTAGCGGTTGGAACGTGGGACTCTTCTGGTTGCTTTTATTTTGCCAGTGACAAGATCAATGACAGGATCACCTATCTGCTAAGAGCAAGACGGGAAAGGAGAGAGGTCTGAGGGGAAAAGAAACATGTGGAGTATCACCTGGTAGGGGTGGGTGAATGGGCCAGAAGAATGCAGTACGAGCATGCAGGGCAATGGGGAGGGAGCTTTGAGGTTCGTGGGTGTGAATGCAAAAATTGCCAGTAACCAGCAGCATTTATGGGGGGGGTAAAGGGGGAAGTGGATAGGGGGTGGAGGGTGCAGAGCTTGCAGGATCAGTGGATCATGGTTCTGGTTGAGCCCAGGGATTTTAGGTTAGGGTACCCAGGGGGAATGGTCAAGGGGATGGGGTGCGTGCAGAGTGGGGTGTTCACAGAGCCTTTGTTTGTAGTGAAAGGGTTTTAGGATAGGGCAGTGGGCATGGATATTGAGGCAGGAAGGAGGGTGAGGTCTTCAGAGGGAGTGAGGTGAAGGATCGGAAGCCATGGTGCTGAGACCCCAGCCTGCTTCAAGAGCACTGCCTATCTTTAGGGGAAGTGAGCCCTAAAGGCAGTGCTTGGCCTCTTAAAGGCCATGTCCAGCCCCCTAGAGGAGATGGCCAGCATCAGGGAGGTGACCAACTCCTCTCAATTTGCCCTATGTTAGTTACCATTTTAGCACCTAAAGTCTTCCATCCTGGGCAGCCTCTCAGTCCAGGGCTGACCTGGGCCATACGAAGCCCTAATCCTAAGAGAGGTGCCCCTTGCCTCTTAAAAGGCCAGCGTGTGGGTTTGGGGTTGAGAGAATTCGGTGTGTGGGTGGAGGTGGGGGGAGCACACGCCCTCCCCTGACCCGGAATCCCTCGTCAGGTGTGATGGTTGGATCCCACGCGGACATGGCGCCGGCCTCTACCGCAGAGGGTGCCGGGGAGAAGCCGGGACCCGCGGCTCCCGCTCCGACGGCCCAGTATGAGTGTGGGGAGTGCGGCAAGTCCTTTCGCTGGTCATCCCGGCTCCTGCACCACCAACGCACGCACACGGGAGAGCGGCCCTATAAGTGCCCCGATTGCCCCAAGGCCTTCAAGGGCTCCTCGGCCCTGCTGTACCACCAGCGGGGCCACACGGGCGAGCGGCCCTACCAGTGCCCCGACTGCCCCAAGGCCTTCAAGCGCTCGTCACTGCTGCAGATCCACCGCAGCGTGCACACAGGCCTGCGGGCCTTCACCTGCGGCCAGTGCGGCCTGGCCTTCAAGTGGTCCTCGCACTACCAGTACCACCTGCGGCAGCACACGGGCGAGCGACCATACCCTTGCCCGGACTGCCCCAAGGCCTTCAAGAACTCTTCCAGCCTGCGGCGCCACCGGCACGTGCACACGGGCGAGCGGCCCTACA